TTGGTAAAAATAGATATGATAAAAAAAAAACATTGATGTTTTTATTGAAATAGTAAAATAATTAATAATTTGAAACGGAAATAGTATATTAAAAATTCTAAGTAATTATTAATTATTCATAAAATCTTATACGTCTATATAAACCCTTTAATAAGAAATAAGAAAAGTAGCAATATCGAACTCTCCATCAAAAAAAAAAAACCCTAGCTCTTTCTATTACGGAAGATGGTTCAACCAAGAAAGGATCATGGTACCGCCGGGAACCGTGACAATGGTATCGAGATAAAATTAGAAAACAGGCTGATCATGTTTTCCGGCAAATGCTACAAGCTCACAGGACCCAATGTTGCTCTTCCTATGGTAATCAAACTCCAAATCAACAACAACACTGTTTTAAGAGCCTCAGTCAAGACACAGGAAGTGAAGCCAATATTCTCTACATGTCTGCATTCTTGAAGATGGGGCTTTCAGAGTCAATCCTAAAACCATTGGAAGCATATCTCAAGGATACTTTTGGAGATGGTGTTGTTGAAAGATTAAACTTGATTTGAGCTTAAACATATTATTTGGATTTTTGGGCTTAGTTATTTTGGGCTTAGGTAGTATTAATCAATATTTCTAAAAAACACTTATAATATTTGGAGTGTCTAAATATTTTTTAGGGTTGTAATATTTTCTATTATGCTCTTGGAATTCCTATAGTAGAGAACTTTATAGAATTAATATGTCTAGAGTTCTCCTTAGAGTACTATAAATAGAGATGTAATTCTACACTTTTGTATCAAGCAAAATACAAAGTTCTCTCTTCCATAAATGATTCTTCTATCTATCAAGTTTCTATTCAAACCTCTAATATTTCCACACACTTTCCCTAAACACAAAAGGTCTTATTTCCAACAAAGTGACATCAGAGCTTCAAGGTCCTCAAAAGATGGCAAATGGAGGTTTCCCTTTTCAAATGTCGATGCTCACAAAGAAAAACAATGATAATTGGAGTATCAAGATGAAGGCGATACTAGGAGCTCAAGATGTGTGGGATATCGTTAAGAAAGGCTTTAAGGAGTAAGATGAAGCCTCACTAAGCCAAGGTGTAAAGGAGACATTAAAAGAGTCAAGAAAGAGAGACAAAAAAGCTCTCTTCCTCATTTATCAATCAGTGGATGAAGATACATTTGAGAAGATCTCCAATGCAGTGACGACCAAAGAAGCATGAGACAAGCTTCAAAGTTGCAACAAATGAGTGGAGCAGGTGAAAAAGATTCGCCTTTAAACTCTTAGAGGTGAGTTTGAACGTTTATTTATAGAAGAGTCTGAGTCAATTTCTGATTATTTTTCTCGAGTATTGTCCATAGTCAATCAACTTAAAAGAAATGGTGAAGATATTGATAAGGTGAAAGTCATGGAGAAAATACTTCGCACTTTAAATCCAAGTTTTGACTTCATTGTTACCAACATTCAAGAAAGCAAGGATTTAAAGACAATGACTATTGAGCAACTTATAGGTTCCTTACAAGCATACGAAGAAAAACAAAAGAGAAAAATTAAACAAAATGAGGCTATGGAGCAACTAGTACAAATCAACACAAAGGAAGCAAATTATGTGAATTACAAGAGGCAAAGAGGACAAGGTCGTGATCAAGATCGTGAACGTAGATGAGGACATGGAAGAGAAGGAAGAGGCAGTTACAACAACTACTCTAACAACTTCAACGATGAAGAAAGAAGTTGGAATCCATAAGCAACAAGAGGTTGTGGAAGAGGAAATTCTTGGTCAAGGTGCGACAAGTCAAAAATCTAGTGCTTCAACTGTAACAAGATCGGTCACTACGCATCTGAGTGTAGATTCTCGAAGAAGGTTGTGAAGAAAGTTAACTTTGTAGAAGAAAAAGGTGGAGAAGAAGAAACTTTGCTGCTTGCGTGCCAAAACCAATTTGAAGAGAAAAGAAACAAGTGGTACCTCGACACCGGCACAAGCAACCACATGTGCGGCGATCGAAGCATATTCGTAGAAATCAATGAAGCGACAACTGACAATGTCTCATTTGGAGATGACTCAAAGATACCGGTCAAAGGCAAATGTAAAATTCTCATACGCTTTAAGAATGAGATTCATTAATTCATATCCAATGTCTACTATGTTCCTAACATGAAAAATAATATTTTGAGGTTGGGACAATTATTAGATAAAGCCTATGACATCCACTTGAAAGAATATAGTCTTTTCTTAAGAGATTGTGGGCATAACTTGATTGCTAATGTGCCTATGTCAAAGAATATAATGTTCCTCTTAAACATTCAAAATGATGTGGCAAAGTGTCTCAAGGCTTGCTATACCGACTCTTCGTGGCTATAGCATCTACGATTTGGACACCTCAAATTCGGCAGTCTAGAATGTTCGTCAAAGAAGGAGATGGTGAGAGGCTTGCCTAGTATAAACCACCCAGAGCAACTATGTGAAGGATGTCTAATTGGGATGAAATTCCGAAAACGTTTTTCAAAGGAATCAACGTTAATAGCGACAAAACCTCTAGAGCTCATAGACACTAATGTCTGTGGACCAATCAATCCAAACTCTTTTGGTAAGAATAAATACTTTCTCCTCTTTATTGATGATTATTCTAGAAAAACGTGGGTTTATTTCTTGAAGGAGAAGTCGAAAATGTTTGAAAACTTTAAGAAGTTCAAACTCTTGTGGAGAAAGAAAGTGGTATTTCCATTCAAGCCATGAGATCTGATCGAGGAGGAGTGTTTACTTCAAATGAGTTCAATAAATATTGTGAAGACCATGGAATCTTTCGCCCACTAACAATGTAAAGATCGCCACAACAAAATGGAGTAACGGAGAGAAAGAACCGGACCATACTTAATATGGTGCGAAGCATACTTAAGAGTAAGAAGATGCCGAAAGAGTTTTGGGCCGAAGCAGTGGCATGTGCGGTTTACCTGACAAACTGTTCTCCAACAAGAACTGTGCATGAGAAGACACTACAAGAAGCATGGAATGGAAGGAAGCCAGTGATCTCTCACCTCAAAGTGTTTAGAAGCATTGCCTATACCCACGTTTCAGATGAAAGGAGAACAAAGCTCGATGATAAAAGTGAGAAGTACATATTTGTGGGTTACGACTCAAGCTCCAAAGAGTACAAGCTCTATAATCTAAATAATGGAAAGATTCTCATAAATCGTGACGTGGAGTTCGAAGAAGAAGATTGTTGGAATTGGAGTGTTCAAGAAGACAGGTACGATTTTCTTCCTTACTTTGAAGAAGAAGAAAATGAAATGGAACAACCAATGATAGAGGAACATATTACACCACCCGCCTCACAGACACCAAGGTTGGATGAAACAAGCTCAAGTGAGAAGACACCACGACTAAGGAGCATTGAAGAGCTTTATGAGGTAACCGAAAATCAAAGTGACATTAACCTCTTTTGTCTTTTTGGTGATTGCGAGCCTTTAAACTATTAAGAAGCTATTGAAAACATAAAGTAAATAGACACCATGAATGAAGAAATCAAGTCAATCACGAAGAATGATACATGGGAACTTACTACACTTCCGCGAGGATACAATTGGAATAGGATGGGTGTACAAGTTGAAGTTGAAGTATGTGATGTCTCGAGATCAAGTTGCCGACATTTTCACCAAGTCACTCAAGTCGAAAACTTTCGTGAAGATAAGGAGTATGCTTGGAATTACAAATCAAGTTTAGGAGGGATGTTGAAAGATTAAACTTGATTTGCGCCTAAACATATTATTTGGATTTTTGGACTTAGTTATTTTGGGTTTAGGTAGTTTTAATCGATGTTTCTAGATATTTGGAATATATAGATATTTTTTAGGGTTGTAATATTTTCTAGAATACTCTTCGAATTTTTAGAGTTGAGAACTCTCTAAAATTAGTGTGTTTAAAGTTCTCCTTAAAATATTATAAATAGAAATGTAATTCTACACTTTTATATCAAACAAAATACAAAGTTCTCTAATAATTCTTCTATCTATCAAGTTTTTATTCAAGCGCTCTAATATTCTCACACTTTCTCTAAACCAAAGGCCTTATTTCCTATAGGTATACCTGTCAAAGGTTACATCGATTTGGACACAACTTTTGGTAAAGGAGAAAACACTAAGATGATAAGGTAAGGTATCTAGTTATTGATTCATCGTCTATTTATAATGTTGTTATTGGCATGCCTGCTCTTAGTGATTTGGATGCAGTAATATCAGTTGTTGACCATGCTATGATGTATCCCGTTGGAGATGGCAAGGTTGGAGTTGTTACCCGGATCTTGACATTGCCAGAAAGTGTCACGAAATGTGCCCTTATCATGTTTAGGTTTTTTCTTTCAATTTTCAACAACTAAGAAAATAGGGTCTTGTGTTAGTTTCTCTGTGATGACTGATGACTAGTAACTGTTTGTAGAATTGCATGACAAGTACTTTATCTGCAATTGAAATTTCTTTTGGGTATGCAAGTTTTGATTCATTTCCTTTTTTCTTTTATGTTTTTAATGCCGGCTTTCAACCTAGGTTATGGTTTGCCACCTCCAATGCAAGTTTTTTCTTTGAAGGTTGGTTTGCAAGGATAATCACCATGAATCAAGTATGATTTAGTTTTACTCTTCAAATAAAATGTCTCCAACACGACATGGTCAGTACATTATCTTGGTGTTTAACCAACTCAATTGCAATAGTTTTCAGTTCTTTCATTGTAAGGCAAATTATATTTTAGGAACTCTGCATTTGAAAAGTTGAAAATTATTGACAAATAGTTCATAATGATTCAAATAAATAGCAATATACCAGTAAAGTAGTATAAATTATTTCATTCTGAGAATCAATATCAAAAATCATATTACATTACAGATCCTCTAAAATGATTGGCATCATTGTGTAATAATACCCTACACTAAACCAATGTAGATTTTGGTTTTTTCTGTACAACTCTTTGTAACTTACGTACATGACAAATCGCAACAAAGAATAGTCATAACTATACTTTATACTTCCTGGAAAATATGCATTCCTTCCTTTTGAGACATTCTTGGAGCAGATCTAGTCACCTTAACATGGTACGAAACCTGATCAGAACCAAACTCAATCACATCAGAAGGACGGACGCGCGCAGGATAATTCGAAAGTACTCTGTATCGTTTTCCTTCATTGCTGAAAATATGGTGAGAAACAAATTAGATATACAATTTTCAAGACTAGTAAACTTTCATAAAAAAAAATCTTAAGAAATATGAAAATTGTTTGACTTACTTAGTGATCCAGGTGCCGTGTTGACTTTGTAAATCGGTCAGGAAGAAGGCCTCGTCCTTGTAGTTGATTCGAGCATGCAATTGAGAAACCTTCAAAAGAAAAAAATGTTGTTGCGTGATCTTCAATACATATGTATCTGAGTTGTATCTAATTATGTGCATGACAAATTGTCTTACCTTAGGTAAAGGTATTGTGATTAAACTGCCTGCATAATCTTCTTGTTGCATGCTCCTGCAATTGCTCAACTATCAGAAAATGAGTTGAAAGTGAAAATTTTAGAATAGCATGCACAACATTTTAATTAGTTGCAGATGAAAGTGTACCCGATTATGCACGGATTCGTCTCATCTTGACTCAAACATATAGGTTCCAAAATACTTGCTTCATTTCCACATGGTAATAAGTTCCATCTACAATTCAAACAAAAAGGAATAACTGACACAAAAGTAATCCGATTGTATATATGGCAGACAATCTATACCAAGCTGCAGACATACTCTCCATTAATAGTACGCTCGAGCGCATCATCATCTTCGAACCATGTGCGTAACTGGTCATTTGCCTTCATAAATAATCAAACCTTTATTAGTATCTACATCGAAACAAAGTCTAATCGACAAACAATAAAAGACCGGTAACCATTTTTTCTACGTATAACAGAAGTCTAGAAAGATAATCAATCATACATACTTTGTCTGAGAGCCTACAACATAGTGGTCTGCCTTCAAGTTTGGAGCTGCAAAAAGTTGGGACAATATACGTAGAATATTTCAAAATCATATCAATCACAAGGAATATACAGAAATGTTTTCGCTTACCTAATGCCACCTAACACCCAGTTTAGCATCAAAGGCATCAACTTGTGAATAAAAAATCCTCCTCCAACTCTTCCTGGATGAGGTATTTTAAACTTGGTTAAAAACTGCAATGTAAAGCACAATATGAAGTGTTATCACCTTCACTTTATTATTCATCATCTAGTTTTTAGAATTTAAGTTCCTAGATACCTCCAAGGGTCCAAGACCAACACCTAGATATGCTTTGTAAGTGGAAGCCATCAAAGCTGCCATTCTAGCCATTCCATGAATAATAGCAACTCGCAATCTTCGTTCCCTCTCATAGCTGAAAGCAACAATGTAAGTTAAGAAGCCATTTTCCAAATAAATCAAGTCATTAAGATGTGCAAGAAGAGTGAATAGTGTTTAGAAGAATATTTCTAGAAACAGTAACCTATTTAGAGAAGAATCAATGTCAATTGGAGAGTCAGATTTTGCACTTTGTTTCCAACCATTGTCCAACTCTAATGCTAGTTGATATCCATCCTGTAATAATGATAAAATATGTCAATGATATTTTTGACTCATCTTTGTCTATTTCAATATTAGTGTCTATCAAGAATTGATTTCTCAGCTCATTTTCTGTTGTTAACTTCTTGATTTCACTTTGAAAACATTGATCATGTTAAATAGTTTATACCTCAATAGCCATGCATCCTCCTTGGCCCATATTTGGTTGCATGGCATGGACAGAATCGCCGAGTAAGGTCACGCGACCCTTTCCCCAGGTTAGAGTTGGCATCCTGTCATATATATCTCGTCGCAGAATTGCCTCTTCTTCAGTGGCAACTAGCAAATCTATTATCTTATCGCACCAGCCTTCAAATAACTTCAACAATCTTTCCTTTCTACCTGTCATGAAGAGAGAATTGAGAAGTTACACATTATAAGATTTCATTTTTATGATAGGAATTCACAAAAAGAAACAAAGGTAATAAAAATGGAGCTTCGGACTTTGAGGAGACAATATGAGTTGATAGAGATGAAGAATGATGAAAAGATGGTTGACTATTTCACATGTTACCAACCAAATGAAGAATTGTGGCGACGATGTGATGGATGAGGTGGTGATAAAGAAAGTGATGAGAACAATGACCATAAAATTTGTTCATATTGTATTGTGCTAACAATTGAAGAAACAAAGAAATGAGTGACATTAAGATCGAAGACTTGCAAAGCACTCTTAAAGTCTATTATGGCAAACTATTTCCTATGTCCTTGATCCCAAACAAACAACTGTTAGAAGACTTCTTTGATGTTGACCGGTGTGTTGACAGAGTAGATAAAAGGAGCACAAGTATCTATTTTCAAGTTTTAAAGATCACCGATCTCTTGATGATTTGTTTACCAAATCTGTACAAGAGACTAATTTCAAAAGTTTAGGAGAAAAATTAAAATTACACCATTGATTAATTTAAGATAAAGAAAGAGGGCTGATCAATGTAATTTCAAGACTAATCAAATCTTATTTTACAACTTAACTAATTTGCTTTCTTTGATTGTTATTAGTTTGTTAGTTAAGTAGTTAAGTGGTTAAGAACTAGTTACTCTTAACTAACTTCATTAGTTTACTTGTTGAACAAGTAAACCTGATAGAATGTGATATAAAACCACCTTTCGTATTGTATTAGGGATTTTCAAACTAAGAGTTCAAACAATCATTTTTATCTTCTAAACATATAATCCTACACATAACCCACATTTTTCTCTCTAAAAGTTTTTAAACTTATTATGACCGTGAAAGCGTCGGCAAAGGACAGACACCAATATTGCTAATACGTGATGTCGAAACAATTAGGTGATAGAATAGCAAAATCGACGATATTGATACACTGTGAAAATACAATTGATTGAATGATTCAATTTATGGAAGGTCTCCAATATATAATGAAAAACCATAATCCTAAATAAAAGGAGAAATGCTGAAACCATTGGAAGCATGTCTCAAGGGTACTTTTGGAGATGTTGTTGATTCATGGTCTGTTTATAATGTTGTTATTGGCAGACCTAGTCTTAGCGATTTGGGTGCAGTAATATCAGTCGCTGACTTATCCATGGAGTATCCCATTGGAGAAGGAAAGGTCGGAGTTGTTACCGCGGATGTTGACATGGCCAGAAAGTGTCACGAAATGTGCCCTTATCATGTTTAGGTTTTTCTTTCAATTTTCAACAACTAAGAAAATAGGGTCTTGTGTTAGTTTCTCTGTGATGACTAGAAACTGTTTGTAGAATTGCATGACAAGTATTTATCTGCTTAAGATGTTGAAATTTCTTTTAGATATACAAGTTTGATTCGATTCGTTTTTTCTTTAATGTTTTTGATAATGGCTTTCAATTATAGCAAACAGAACTTATTTATTCAGTTTTGGGATGTTCTAACCTATTTGTTAAACACTAGGTCATGGTCAGCTTGAACTGCGATCAAACCTCCAAAAATAACCAAACCATGGTAAATGCCAGTTCAATATTAGATGGTTCGGTTTTTAAATATTGGTAATCACTATTTATGTCTTGATTTTATAATCAAGTATCAAAAATATTTTACATCTGCAGAGGGTTCTCTGATAGATGTCACATTTATAGTTTTGGAACACATACCATTAGGGGTGTCAATACCGCCAGCAGGTTCTTGGTGAAATGCATACCATTGCATCTTTCCAGCACCGACATCTGATGATACAAAGTATTGTTTGTGTCCTAAGAATACTCGGTACCTTTCACCAGAGAAGTTCAAGTGAGCTTCTCAACATGGTATGCTTTTTCATATAGGGCTAGCAAGTTAGAGAAATGGAAAACTTACCCAACAGATTCAATGTCAGGTGGCACGAAATCTGCTATACCAGTATAACAAGTATAGCCAGAGTATGTAGCTTCTGTTGCCCCAAATAACTTTCTCCTCACCTATTCACAAAATAATACAAGTAAATAACACAAAATCCTAAGTTACTTAGACTAAAAGACAGAATTTTATAGGACCTTGGACCAAATCCCATCTGCTCCAACCAAGAGATCTCCATCATATTTCTGCCCATTCTCCAGCACCACCGTTACCTACAATACAATTGATGAATGTGGGGTGACACAAGTGATAAGCCAAATAATGTCCAATCATATTAGTCTTCAACATAATACCTATAATAGTAATGTGAGGAGTATCTTCAACATAAAAGTTTCTATGATTACCTTAGTTCCATGATCAACAAAATCAACAACATTACTAGCATTCATAATGACATCTTCCCCTACTGCACGAGCAAGAATCTCTTGTAAAGCCATTCTACTAATAACTCTAGTGACCGGAAGCCCGCGTTCTGCCGCAGGAGTGAATGTGTCAAACTTGATGTACCTGATTACCATCAATTCACAGTAGATGCTTATTTTTCATATGATAAAGCTACAAAAGCAAGTTGAATCTAATTTGTATTTAAGCAATATTAGTGACCCATAATCTTGAACAAAACCAAGTAGTATCTCAGCCAAGAGAGGAAGAGTAAGAAGAGACTAATAAAGAAAGTGAAGTCATTAGTATGACACAAGATTTAACTTACCAAGACCCAGAAACTCCATCGACAAGCCCATTGATTCTATTACCTGTGATGCAACCAACTCTCATAACTTCTTCAGCAACATTCATATCTATAGCTTCTAAAGCTGCCAAAGCATTGCTTTGTATCTGAATTGGACCCCTATATTGCCCCTCCCCTCTTATAGCACTCAAATCCTTCTCAAACACAAGTACCTCAAATCCTTTCCTCTTTGCAGCCAAAGCAAAAACCAAACCACCAATCCCTCCACCAGCTACAAGCACTTTAAGCTTCTTCTGAGGAGCTTGATCCTCACCAATTTCAGCTCCACTCTGCGTTGACTTTGAAACTGAAACAGGTGCTTCAAGCAGTTCTGTTGCTTTTACTTGCATCGGTATCTTCCTCTGCTTGGTTGTTCTGTTTCCATAGCTCAATGAAGGTGAAATATATGCTGAAAGATCTTTATACATAGGATCTGAGAAGTGTGTTCTTGAGAAAGCTGCCACTGAGGGATTGAGAGAGTTGCAAGACAAGGTAGAAGCCATTGTTGGAGTTTGTTATTGTTGAAGATTAGATCATAGCTTATGGTTGAGCAAAAGAAGCGAATGCATGGATAAAGAAAAGGAAAGCACGCATTTACATAACAAGGAAAAAACAAAGCAAGGGAAATTGTAGTGGAATTGATAAGAGACAAATGTGGTGTTTGAATCACACCAATAATGGAGAATGTTAAGCCATGTGGCAACCTGTATGTGAGCTGAGTGGCTATTGGTATGATTCCTATGACATCAGACAGAACCTTAAATTGTGGGTTACGTGGCATTATACTATTAGCTCATACACATAAACAATAACAGTCAGATAGTGAAAGTTGAACCGACTGTTAGATAAAATATTCATTCAAGTTGATGATGATAAATCAAGAACCCATGTCTGACAAAAATAAATAAATAAACTTGTGTTAAATATAATAAAATATTTATCTCAAAATAAGTGATCTTATAGATCATTTAATATAAATTAAAAATTTAATAATTTAAAGAGAGAAAATAGTATCTTTATATTGAAGAAGCAAAGAATAAATTAAATAAATTAAAGATTCTAGATAGCAAAGAATAGACCAAAATCCATTACACAATAATAACTTCACGAGACAAATTCTAGTCAAAAACAGTCTAGGTGGCTTAAATTTCCACAGAGAAACAACAATTGACCCAAACCAATTATTAATCCCTACAATATAAGCATGAAAAAACATAACACCTCATAACAAACATGATAAGGCATGAGCTGCTACTTAGAAGAACTTGTTGAATCAACAATTCAAAATTGATTTTGTCATCAAAAAATACCACATCAGCCAAAACTGATGCAACTCCCTCCCGCAGGAAAAAAAACCTGCTCCACCAATTGAAGAAACTACCGGACCAATATGATGCCAACACTCAACAAAACATTCTAACTTCTGCAATCTGATTTCACTATTAACCTGACACCGCAACCAGCTCCAATACTAAATAGAGTCAGTCCCATCCATAAGCTACTATGGAATACATTTTCAAATGCTGCTCAATCATCCTTTGCAGCGTCTGCTATGACGAATCTAATCCTCACTCGGATTCCACTCCTGATCACCTAACCAAGAATTAATTTGGGATTCAAGTGCCAGTATGATAAACAACAGTTTAGAAGTTTACATTTGTTGCTCAACCAATTCCACGATAACCTTTGGATAGCTCCAAACATTTGTTCGACCAAACAACCTCGTTTTTAAATATATTATTGTTTCTTGTTTTCCAAATGTTCCAAGTACAAGCAAATCACGCCACTCTGATTCTTAGGTAATTGAATTTCTTCCGCTGGCAAGAAGAGTTTCGAATTGTTCGAGATGATCTATGCAATCTTTGTTAAGTATTAATAAGTGTGAGTAGTGTGGAAAATAGTCTCACATTGAATAGGAATGTGGTGACTTTAGTATTTATAATTGAGAGAACTCATATACCTATTACTTTAAGGTTTTTGGTGAGTATGTGGTGTGACTCTCACAAAAGTGTTGCTCTTAAAAAAAAGTGAGAATCTCTCCCTATTACCATGAACCTTTGGTTCGAGTGAGAGATCGGCTAAGAGTGTCAACGGCGGTACAAAGGTGTAGTTGCACAGTTGAAGCTTCCGCTTAAGTTAAGGGGAGCATCGTAGAATCATTGTGGATAAACTCACACTGGGGTGTTAAGTATTAACAAGTGTGAATAGTGTGGATAATAGTCCCATGAGCATTTATAAGTGAGAGATTTCATATACCTATAACTTTAAGATTTTTGGTAAATATGTGGTGTCTCTCACTTATATTCCTCAAAGAAAAAAAGTCTCGAGTCCCATATTTTTTGTCTTTTAATAGAATTTTTAAATATTTTTTCTGCCAACGCCATCTAAGATGGAGGACGTGTTAGGCATACATAAGGGGTCTTCATCTTGGATAGAGACTCTTTTTTTTTTTTTCGTTTTAATTTTTTGAAAATTCAAAAAATTATTTTTATGTTTTTCTTTAATAATTTAAAAACCACGATTTTGGTCTCTTTTATAGGTTTCAAGATTGATATTAATACCCTTGTCATTTTAAGTCATGTTTTTAATGAGGTGGCGCGTTGAATGATAATGTGATATTTCCATGTCAGTTAAAATGGTCTTTTTAATTTTAATATCATTTCCATGTCATTAACTTAAATATTATTTCATTTTCAGAAAATTAATAAAATAAAACTTAAATGTAAAACTTCAGCTCTATCATCTTCAACCCATTTTAACGAACGAACGAACGGTGAAGCTTGGTGTTCCCCCTTCATCTTCAACCCACTTTAACGAACGAACGAACGGTAAAGCTTGGTGTTCCCCCTTCACGAACGAACGAACGAACCCATTTCTTCAAACCCAGTTCAATATCAAACTGCAGCTCGCTTCCCGTTGTCTCTGAAATGGCAAACTGAAGTTATGTGTCGAGGTATGTTTCGTAACTCATCTCTGAATACAAAAACCCTAAACACGCAAATGGCGTTTGTGTTCTGTCATAGCATATGATTTGTTTATACCAACTCCCGGTTTTATCTATGGTTTAATTCAGAAACTGTCATTTGTGTTTTGTAGGTCCTCTGATACCCAAGCTGTCAGATTTAGAGTACACCATAGGGGACATTTAATTCAGAATCCAATTCTGTTGTATGTTGATGGGCTTGTAAGTGAAATGAATTGGGATTGGGATGTGGACTTGATGTCCTACATGCAAATTGAAGATTTGATCAAGAGTGAAGGGTATCGTAATATAAAGTGTTTATGGTATTGGAATCCTAATTTTTTCTTTTCTCGTGGACTTCGGCCTCTTAACAATGATAATGATGTCTTAAGGTTAATGGAGGATGTTAGAGGATTTAAGGTAGTTGATCTTTATGTTGAACACAAAGTTGAAGAAATAAGTATTGAGGATGTTATTTTTGAGGAGGATAATGGTGAAAAACGCAATGGTGAAGGAGCAAACGGTGAAGGAGCAAATGATGAAGTTAATGTCGAGGGAGCAAATGATGAAGTTAATGTTGAGGGAGAAAACGATGAAGTTAATGTTGAGGGAGCAAACGATGAAGTTAATGTCGAGGGAGAAAACGATGAAGAGGTTAGTGTTGATGGAGTAGATGAAGAGGTTATTGTTGATGAAGTAGATGAAGAGGTTAGCGTTAATGTTGATGACGTAGATGACGAGAGTGAAACAGATCCAGATTATAGCATGGGTAGTGAGGATGACGAGGAAGAGGATGAAGATTTGGAAGATGAAATTGATGTGATGAATTTAGGTGTTGATGCTAGTATTAATTGGAAGACCGTTTTACCTAATGCTACAACAGAAAAACCTTCAAAGTTGGATGGTAATTCTGATAATGGTAGTGATTCAGATGTGCTTCAAACTCCACCCGGTAGTGATACTGAAGGTGATACGGCAAAGTTTCCAATAGGGAACCCACAAAATTTGAAGTAGGGATGATGTTCAAGGATAAACAACAAATCGAAGATGCCATAAAGGAGTATGCAATGGAGAACAAGAAGAATCTTGTATTCAAGAAAAATGACAAGAAGAATCTTGTATTCAAGAAAAATGACAAGAAGAGAATGGTTGTCAAGTGTGTAGATGGTTGTCCATTTCATATTAGGTTTAACATGAGGACTACCAATCAATATTGGCAACTTGTTAGCTTAACTGATCGTCATGGCTGCCATAGGACAGCCAAAAATAGACAAGCAAAAACGGATTGGTTGGGTCGCCAATTTGTGTACACCATAAGACACACTCCTGAAATAAAAACCAAATGGCTGATTGCAGAAGCTATTAAGAAGTGGGGGGTGAAGTTTTCAAAGGATCAAGCTTATAGAGCCAAGAAAAAGGCAATGGAATTGATTCAAGGTGCTGGTCGTGAACAATTCACACATCTTAGAAGCTATGGTGAGGAGTTGTTAAAGTCAAATCCAAACTCCACTGTTAAAATTAAGTGTGTTGATTCAGATGGTGGTCCTGTCTTTGAAAGAATATATGTATGCTTAGAAGCTTGTAAGGCAGGGTTTGCAACGACGTGTAGGCCTCTAATAGGACTGGATGCTTGTTTTCTTAAATGGGAATTTGGAGGTCAGTTAATAGGTGTTGTTGGTAAGGATGGAAATAACAAGATTTATCCAATCGCTTATGCCGTAGTGGAAGGTGAAACGAAAGACTCATGGAAATGGTTCCTTAATTTGTTATTAGAAGACTTGCAATCTATACAAGACAACAAATATGGATTTATATCAGATCAACAGAAGGTTAGTTTTACAGTGCTGCTATTTGTTACAATGTTGTTTGATATATGATGCTATTTTGTGTTGATATGTTGTTTGTTGTACAATGCTGCTATTTGGTTTATATGTTGTTACAATGTGATGCTATACAGTGTTGCTATTTGGTTTATATGATGTTACAATGTGATGCTATTTGGTTTATATGTTGTTACAATGTGATGCTATACAGTGCTGCTATTTGGTTTATATGTTGTTACAATGTGATGCTATACAGTGCTGCTATTTGGTTTATATGTTGTTATAATGTTGTTTGTTGTTTGTTGTTACAATGTTGTTGGTTGTTATATGTTGTTATATGCTACTGTAATATACTGATATGTGTTGATGTTGTTACTAATATGCATTTAAATTAATCAAAGACTAATGATGTGTTGATATGTGTTGTTATGTATTATTGTTTGATGTGTTGTTATGTGTTGTTATTTCAGGGATTGGTACCGGCTATTCTTGAGACAAGCCAACATGTTGAACACAGACTATGTGTTAAACACTTGTATGGAAATTGTAGAAAGAAATATCCTGGGATATTTATGAAGGAGGCTTTATGGCGGGCAGCTAGAGCCACAACAATTCCTACATGGGAAAGAGAAATGAATCATATGAAAGAGCTCAATGTCAATGCTTGGAAAGACATGATAGATGTCCCAGCTGCATGTTATACTCGGTCTCATTTCAAAATAGACACACAATGTGATTTGCAAGTCAACAATATGTGTGAGGCTTTTAATCGTGCAATCTTAGAGTATAGAGATAAGCCGATCATTTCATTACTTGAAGGAATCAAACATTACATAATAGTGAGAATCTCTGCTCAAAAGGAGAAATTAAGTAGGTACACAGGTGTTACAAGTCCTAGCATTCAAAAAGTCTTTGAAAAAACAAAGAGGGCAGCAGAAGGATGGATTGCAACATGGCATGCAGATGATGACTTTGCTATATTCGGAGTTTCAAACGGTGTTGAGACATATGCTGTGAACTTGCTTCAACAGAAATGTGGTTGTAGGAAGTGGGATTTAAGTGGAATACCATGTTGTCATGCTATTGCATGCATATGGTATAACAAAAAGGAGCCCGAAGAGTACGTTTCACAATTCTATAGGTATCACCTACTCATATATTATGTTCATTTACATTCATCTTTTTTGTATGTTTACTAAAATCATTGTGTCATATTGTCTAGGAAATCTATTGTTCTGGCTACTTATAGACATATCATTATGCCAACCAATGGCCCACAACTATGGCATGTGGGTGGAGTGTATTGATGTAGCAAATGGCTTGAACGGCTTGTACTCTTCGCTTAATGTCATGGCTCAGTTCTATTTTTGTTGTAAATTTTCTTGTTGCAACGTTGTTATCAAATGAGCCTTCATGAATGGGCTTCTTTTGCATTTTTGTGTGTAATGAGAAATGTGCGAATTTCTTTATGTAATGGGTTTTGATCATTAGCAATGGGCTTGGAATTCTATTCGTGAACTTTGTAAAATGAAATATGAAAATGTATGGAAATTAGATTAAATGAATGATTTAGGATCGGATATAAATGATGAAATGGTTGGGATATTGGATTTAAGAAATAGATAATGGGATAAATGGATAACTAAAAAATGGTTTTTTGAAATGGATATTAAAAGTGGATATGGTTTAATTGAGAAAAAAATAGATAGCCATGGATATAAAATAATGGAAATTGATAAGAAATAGAAAGTGGAAATGGATATTGATGATTGGATTGGATATTGTGGATAAAATAGATTATGAATGGATTTCCCTGAGGAACTTATGAATCAATCTCATCCTCTAAAGCTTTGAATCACAAATCAATCTTGATGAAATTCACTGCATGAAAACCCTGATTGAAAATGTCATGATCTCTGATGATCCTTAATCATGAAGCACTGACGACTTTACATCACCTGACAACCTGGTCCACACACAGACAACCTGAATTGACACAGAAACCCTAAGTGAAGTATCAGACATGCACCTCTTGAATCATGCATACCCTGGTCTTGATGCCCTTGAACGATACCTGGACTTAATGAAAAAATGAAAGCAACATATCTTTTGGGTTTTCGAATAATGGTTAGTGGATGTACATATAAGTGAAAGTAATATATAGGTAGGACAAATTTGGGGTATGACAATTAGGATAAGGCGTGAGAGGATAGATTTTCACTTATGGATCTAGGGCACTGTTTTATTCATAAGGGAAAAATGTTTCGCTTATATATGTAATATGCTTTAGTATTAAAAAAGGGAAAACTTTTCACCACAGTTGAAAGTAACATTCATGGTGAAATGTCCCTCGGGAACACACTTTTAGCATGTTACTGAGGGACATTTAACCATGACTATTACTTTCAATTGTGGTGAAAAGTTCTTTAATTTTAATTTAAAAACAAAAACAAATGGAACATGCATATTTTGTAATGAAAAAAAAACTTAAAATTGTCGGTGTGGTAATTCAGAGTGTGTCCCTCATTCACCTTTAACCATGGTTGTTATTTTTGACCGAGGGAAAAGTAATTTAAAAGGGCGTCTAATGAATAAATATCACCTAGGTGGAATAAATGGTCGAGGTAATATTCTGTTACAAAATGTACAAATTTGCAGTAGTGCAATTTGGTCCCTCATATATATTATGGTTATAATCAAGTCACTCTTCTACTCCATCAGTGGTCCATTCCTCATTAATGTTTGCATCATTGGCCCCTCCTTCATTAATGTTTTCATCCAACGCAATGGTACCTCATTCAAATTTACCTTTCTCGTATTATTTATTCCATCACCCTTGTCTTTTTTGAAGTTTTTTTACAAACCAATGTCATCTACAATATATTCTTCTCCATGGTTAAAGTCAACTACATTGGGCTTACAATATTGTATTCAAGGGAGGTGTAACTCTTCAACTATTTCAGGTTGTGACAATGGATGAATAACACATAAATGCACATCCCAAGTCACCCGTGTAATGTTTTTCATCATATTGGCTCCAAATTCATCTTTCAAAAGAACCATCTCACTGATGTCTATTGTATTATAACACTACAACCTATCTACAACTGGGTACCCTAGATCCTTTAAAATACTCAACACTTTAAAGTAATACCAGTAGTCAGGGTCACATTGCCAAACATACTCTAATCCATTGTAACCTAATTTTGTTAACTCGGTAAATTTACCCCATGATACAAAATTCACTCAAACCTCTTATCCATGACATATTCAATCTAAAGAAATAAAATGTAGAAAGAATGAGTAAGACAAAATTTCAAAAACTTACAATTTCATATTTTGAGCAAAATAATTTCATAACTATTGAAGAAGGGAGATGAAGAATAAGGGAAGAATCACCAATCTTCATTCTTCCAGATTCAAGTCTTCCTTATTCCAATTCCAGCAAGACGTTATGAGATTCTAGGGTTTCGTTCATTTTCTCTTCTCTTCATTCATGTTCACGTTAGTAGCAAATGAAGAACAACATGCAATTTGTTATTCTAAGGTTAATGAAAGATAGTGTCTTTTGAATGTTTGCCACATAATAATAACTTATACTTTTTTAAAATAGCCACGTCAGATTAAATATACAAACTAAATTTTCACATCATCACAACTTAATTTTTTGTCAAAATTTTATGATAAGTGCCAAAACTACTTATTTCACATAAGCACTTATTAACTTAAATCACAAGAAATCACAAGAACCCCCCCCCCCCCCCCCCCCTCCAATCTATCATAAAAAGAAGATAAAACGTTGGTACGATTAATTTAACTATGTTATTCATGTGTACAAGTGAAAACATCCAAAGAAATCCCATAATATTGAAACTGAGTGGCAGAGAACTTATTGGTTGAAGTAGGGGCTCTCCCAGCCAAAATAGGGCAAAAACATGGCAACCTTTATGAGTTATTCTCTCCTAGCGATGAAACTTTCTTATTGGGCGAGCACATGCGGTTAAATATGACTTCTAGACCAATCTACTTCTTGGCTAAGTAATAAAATTGTTGAGCGAAATAGGGTAGTTTAAAAACTTCTTGGCTAAGTAACTTTAGGGTGAATGAAGTGTTAACTTGGTAGGCGAAGTGACAAGTTCGTTGAGCAAGATAAGGCATCCAAATTCCACTTGGATGACCTGAACATAACTTTTATGTGGATAAAGTAGGCTCGCTAGGCGAGCTAAATAACTCTTTGGGCAAAAAAGCATGCTCAAACCCTTATAAATAGAGGTTACAGTCAATCCATCAATATGTTCATTCATCCCATAATAGAAGAAATCAGTAAAATAGGTCGAATTTATAGGGATAGATCCCAAGAATGTATTGAATAATAGGAGGTGAAGGCTCAATTCGGCCAGAGAAGTTGTTGTTGATGTTATTCCATCTCTTTCTTCTTTATCATCATTGTAAATCTACTATGAGTAAGAGTAGTTAAATTATGTTTTATTGCAGTTATATATAATTGTCCAAATACTCATGTATTCATCTTAATCATAGCGTTATATATGTTATAGTTATTGATTAATATTGATGATTAATTTTTTCTTAATGTTTGTTATGCATTATCTACTTATATCTTGTTATAATGGTTTTAAATTGATATTGAGAAATACTTTTCTTAACTATATCAAAGATTTTTTATCTATTATACGTTAAAACTCTGGTCACGGATTTAGGTCTAGCATTCACGCATAGTATAAAAACTTAATGATATCATATTTGTTAATCGGCTGAGAAATCATCGGTTAAGAAATATGATTGATTTTATGTCATTGTTTAGACATATTTACCATACGAAGAGTGATAGCAGATAATATTAAGTGATGGTTAAGAATATATATATATATATATATATATATATATATATATATATATATATATATATATATATATATATATATATATATATATATATATATATATATATATATATATATATATATATATATATATATATATATATATATATATATATATATATATATATATATATTTATAATTATTGCAAGGATACATGAGAATAGGATAATGAAATATAACCGCAACAATCTCATTTTCATTTGTCAAATCTTATTTTCATTCATTGTTATCTTAATATAGTTATCAAACAAACATTTCCCTATGAAGAAGATATCAATGGAGAAGATAAAAAAAATACTCATTTTTGTTTACTGAACATTATTTAACATAAATGACCAAGTTAGTTAACATAATAGTTTTTTAGAGTCTAAAAAGTAAAGTTTATTAGATAAAGGACAAAAATGAAAACTTATTTCATCTCCAAAGTCTCAAAATATTTTTTATATTCAGAAAATGTAAAGAGCATCATCCTTAACTCATGAACCAACTCCTCTTCGTCTCCAAACTCATCACCAGTACACCAACACTTTCATAACCATCTCCATCTGAAGCAATTGAAATATGAAAAAAAGTCAACCTGGCCCCACTGTTTTAGAACAATCCTTTTGGAAATGACCAATTTTATAAAAATATAAAATATTTTAATCTTGATTTATCAAAACCCTTAGACTTGGACTTCTCTATACTCTCACTCTTTCTTCTTGAAACATTGATTCTTCATCAATATCGTTAACCGTACCAATATCGTCAACCTTCAAATTTTTCATCATTGAAAGCTCATTGGACCTCACAGTCGTATGAATTTCATTCAAGATGATAGTACCTTCCTTACCATAAAGAATAACATCTTTGAAATGCTCAAAGAATCCGGGTAAGGAGACTAATAAGAGTATAATCTTATCATCATCTTCAATTTTCACGTCAATATTCTCCTAGTCATAAATGATCTTATAAAATTATGTTAATTGCTCCATATTGAATTTTTTTCTTTACCATTCACAATGAGTAGAGTTGTTATTTCAAACACAATCTATGAGTCAAGGTCTTTGTCATATACAATAGTTCCAATAGTTCAAGTTTGGTCCACATTGAAGTCACCCTCTTCTCTTTGGCGACTTCCCGATAAACTTTATCTTTGAGGTACAAGATAATGACGACCACAATAAATGATATCAAGTAGAATTAATCAATCTCCAAATTAGTTTGAGAAAATCTACACAAACAAGAAGAAGATACAAGACGAGAGCACGGAAATTTTTTTTAATCTAATTCAATCAAATTGATCTACTTTGGGGGAGAGAGGGCAACTCTCTGATTTAACATACTTGAAAATTTGTTACAAGAAAATAGATTTCCATGTTCTCAAGAACAACCTATATTTTAAACTCAAGTGTCTCTCAATCCT